CAGGAATACGGGAAAAACAAAATTCATATTTTCCTGAATCAAAAAAATGTAACAACAAGCTGTGTTCATTAATTATATCGACATGTATCATAGTATCTAATACCTATGCGTTGAATTTAGAACATAAATCATATTAATATATTATTATCTTCATATTCAATTGCAGTACAAGTTTAGCTGATCTTTTAACAATTATTATTAATCACCTAACCGTAAAACCAAGGAATTAAAATTACTGTCTATGATAACAATTAATACAATAAGTAAAAATATCATGCTTTTTAAGTTATTTGACTAACTATTTCAAAACTACCTACTATATACAAAGTCTAGCAAGAGGACGATTCTAATCATCCCCACGCCACACCATGTCATCGAAAATGGTTCCACTGTGGCAGGGTATAGCGTGGGGATGCATAAAAGAACAGAAATTCGACAGGCCGAGGCGTGTTTTCTCTCTAGACAGAGGATAGTTGTACAATTAGAAAAATGTTAGCATGATTTCATGATTTTAAAAATTCAAAGCATATGCATATAGCATAACAGGTATTTAATTCATTACGAAAAGAAATCCAAATTTTAACTTGATAAAGCCAAGATTAGACTGAAATCAACGTACCTTATAAAAAATGTACGAGAGTACCAATAACAATTAAATGATTAACAAAACACTTTTAATACAAATAGTGCCAAACTATATAACAAAAGAAGACACCTGGTAATCTAATTCTAAACCATCTGTAAACAAACACAAATTATCCAAATTTAATTTAATATGCATATGTAAATTGACGCACAGATGTACTGAAATACTTTAAAATTTGTCAATGTCATTAATGAGACTCGTACAAAAATTGGGTAGGTGTACCTATTTATATAATAAAAATATATATTGATTCTACATTATATGCAGTTATTATGTTTTTCTTATTTAATTTTAAAATTATCAATAATATTTCCATGTACTGCAATGTTGTATTAAAATATGTACGATAATGAGGATTTCTCAATTATCAAAACAATATTTAAGAGTGGTAGTAATTATAATTAATTTAATTTGAATAAATTCAAGCTCTAGTGTAAAACTGCGTAACAATATAAAATATAAAAATGTAAAAATATTTTAAACAAATTAAATTAAACAACATATTTTCGAATAAAATTAAAAAAACTACATATATTTTTATAAAATATATTCTAATTATTCTAGTCATATGTGTATCAATGTATCATACAATAGAAATTTGATGCAATACTAATGAGATATATGCCATATATTTTAACAGTATAAAGTTTAACTTTTCCAATATTATACTGTGTCTAAACAAAAAAATGTTATACATATTACCTATACATATACATTATATTTCACGCACATAATACATATTTTGCCTTATACAGAGTGTAACAGAAAAACCTGAAGAATGTTTATGACAACTTTTATTCTAATCAGTATTTAAACATTTTTTTTAACTCCAATAATTTAAATAAAATTTTTTTTTTAATTCAAAATGGCCAATTTATGAATCTTATTTAAGACAAATTTTAATGGTAAAAAAGTTTATTTAAGTCAGGCAATTTATTTTTTACAATTTTTATATCTAATATGAGTATACTTTTCTTAAATTATTAACTATCCTTAAAATGTTGACAATTTTATAAGGGTTGGCCTTTTTATATAAAAATACTTGTAAAATTCATAAATATGTTATGCAACCAAATTATTATTTAACCCTTATTATGATATGATCCTTGCTTATTTTCTAATCATTTAGATTAGTCGTAGAAGCGTCTGAATAGTTATTTATAACTATGTATATATAACTGTCTATTATCTACTAAGTACAAGGAACCTATCAATAGATAATATAAGTTACCATATTCATATGCCCACCATACCTTGACTCTAAATTAGCCTCAACCCTCAATTCGTAATCCTCGGAAAATAAGCGACGAGTTTCGCCAGATCGAAAATAATTATGCTCATAAATCGTTACCCAAATTGAAATTATGTTGCACTAAACATAACTATCTATAGCTAGGTATATAAATACCCACTAGCGACGACTTAAAGTAAAAGATCGGCGAGGACTGAGTTTCTTTAAGATCCACCGATCAACAAAGGAAAATATCACGATTACCCGCTGGCGTGTACTAATGAACACTATGTACAATATTATTTAAAACTTTAAAATATTATTTTCATTTTCTTGGAAAATAATTATTATTTATTCATCACTATTTATGTTTTCATTGTTACATAATTAACTCATTTTTACGGCTGTGAATAAGTTTTTGTTAGATTCATAAAGGTTATCTTTGAGTACATTAATATGCTTACAAAATTATATTTCTACATAATGGTTATTACGCCAAAATCAATGGAAAAACAATACAACTAATTCAATGTTTACGTTTTTAATTTCTAAATAATGCAGTACCAAACTAATTGAATTAATATAATTATGCATTAATAAAAATGGGTCTGTAAAAAAAATTTAGTAATGGGTATATGTATAAAATTCATAATTTTGCAATACATAGAACCTATAAACCGCCATCCATGTTATGGCTGATGTTATTCGCGAGTGGGTAATCAAGGTATTTTCTGTTAGTACAGACATCTATACATGGACAGATATATTAAAATAAATGTATTTTTATATACAGTGAAGTCACCACAAACAGACACCTCTAAATAGCGGACACTTGCAAAAGGCGCACATTTTTTTGGGAACTCCAAACTTTCTACAAACTAAACCTTGAATAGCGTACACAATTTTAGCAACCGAGAGTGCCTGATACTTAAAAGGTTTCACATTTCACTGCTGCGAATGTGGTCATAATGGAAAACGGTGACTGTAGACCATTTTCACCCAAAGGCCATCGCGTCGTTTAAGGTTCTCGATCAAACCGTTACCGTTATCTCGTCCTGTTCGCAAATACTTGAGTGTTGTACAGTGTGACAAGTGACGATATTTCGATACGAAACGAGTCTATTGTATACGTATATTATTTGAGAACCGCATCACTTCCGATTGGACGAAATGCGTCACCCGTTTCCCGAGGATTACGAACCTATATATAGTCATGGTAAATCACACATCAGTCGTCTATGTAAATTATTCACAGGTTTTTCATACTAGGACGCCTCTACGATTGTTATTTACAATTTATTGTAGTTGCGCACAATGTCATAATGTAGTGTCTATAGTCTATATTCTATATTGATTTGTAAAATCTATATAATACCTTGATAAAATATACGGTGAAGTATACGGACCAGTCGAATATCTGGTGGGGAAGGGTCACTCTGGGCGTCACTTGTATATATAATAGCATATTCATAGATATCCTGTTTACTTTTTTTTAACAAATGTTGTTCTTATGTTATAAACCTTTTTTTTGCTATTAATCTGTGACCATTTACTTGATAATAAAATGGGGTGATTTGTCTATATAAAATTTGTTGTTCATTATAATATAACATGTATAATGTATATTGTATAACCTACATAATTGATTCTTACTGTCGATATATGTATTTAATAAGTACAAAGTCCCGTAAAATTGGTTAAGCAAAACCATTATAATATATAACATGTTCATGTAAATACCCATTGAAGTTTTCAGAAACACCTACATTAAATAAAACATATTGAGCGTAACATGTTTGAGGCACATTTAACAGCGTGTTCGTTTCCCATTTTGCTAAACACATTAAAAGGCTTAAGACTAACAAAAAAAAACATGACTTAACAAACGTTAAAATGATTCTTGTGTGTATTGTAGATACTAGATACTAAATTTAATTTAACAATAATACATTCATTCAAATCTGATTTATATTTTTAAGTTAAGTATAACTTCAAATAATTACAGCACTTAAAACAAGAACGTTTACAAAAAACCAAAACAATCATGATTACCCAAACATTTTTTTTTTTTAATATCTCACTATAGTCTTTAGTACTGCAATTTACTAATTTTTAATCAATAGACAGGGCTAAACTAATATATTGATTTATTAAAATGGTGATCATTTAAACAAAAATCTACAACACACATAGTTTAAAAAGGAAAACATTATTGTAAAAATGTCCAGAATTTGTCAAATATCCACTTAAAATGATTTAAAACCTAACAACTCGAGTTGTAGAGGATTCTCTATTTTAAACTATGGACTGCGGTAGTAGATATATGTTCTTCAGTGAATTGAAGGCGAGTTTACTTATATACTATGTGTATTCATAACGGACAAATAATCAAGAATTCCAAGAAAATAATGTATATGTATTACATATAATAATAATATGCTGCTATATCAAAATTATGCTATCAAATATCAACAATATTTTTTTTTTTTGAACATTCAGGATCTCTGAAAAAATAATTACTTATCCAGCTAAAGCTTGATGCTTTAATTATTTCCTATGATTGTGCACATAATACTCCAATTTTATTGTACAATCTATAGATTGTATCTATAGATGTTAGAGGACACCAAACCTGAATGTGTGATCTCCGTCTTACAAAATAATTACAATTTTTTATTCTGCAGTTCCAATTGAGTGTAATCATCTTTAATAATAAAGATTAAAAACTAAAAAATTTAATTTAAATTTAAAAATCTTAATATTGTAAAAAAACATAAAACTAGTTAAGAAGTTACCTTCTAAATTTGATAATAGTAATATACACTTTTTTCAGTAATGCATTTTACAAAATGTCTAATGTATTTAAAATTTATGTAATTAAATATAATAGTGAAATTGAAATACAATAAATTTGAATTTTACAAACGCACAACCGTAGAACGGGGGTTGGCCGCAGTCACTAATATGCTGCGGTCAAGCACCATCCGACGTCGTGGGCTCCCAGATGGGTGATCACCCAGGTTATTGGGTACGAATCCTTGCCAAACATACAACACGCGTTCCCAACAAACTATACTCCCCCCCCCCACTCGAAAAAAGTTCTTTAAAAAAAATGATTTACATTTAACACATTTGACTATTTTCTATTTCTTACCAAAAATTTGTTAAATTATATGCACAATATTAATGAAACTATACTACATTTTCTTACCTTGACATTGAAATCCTTGTTTTCCAAAACCCCTAAAATAAAATACATAGAAATTTAGTTTTTTATATAAAATAGATTAACATAATGATATACATTATAGATACACGCATGTTAACATTTTCTAAATCAATAAATAATTTTTTTTGAGCAGTGGCTTTGTGTGTATTATTTAGACTTTTAAAATAAAATCCGTACTAAAAAAACTAATTACTAAATATTTTAACACGCAAATACAATATTGCCTTCTTTTTTTTTTAATACTACATTTTATGCCATGAGTATGTAATTAATGGAGTTTATTATTTAAAAATAAGTTTATTGCAAGCTGATGCCGAATAAGAAAAATTGGACACTATTGAAAAAAAAAATGTTTTAAAAATATAAGACGCTTCCATTATTCGTTGAAAAAATAAAGCATTGGTTTAGAATTTTATTTGAAAAAATTTCAAGATGTTTTATGTAAATTTCTTAATTTTGAACGAAATAATGTATTTTAAAAAAACTTGTGACAAATATTTTACATACAAAATTAATCCACTAAGTAGGTTCAAAGAATTTGTTATACATAAATCCAGTAGTAAATTATATAAAACACCTGTCTTTCGGAATATTATATTCACCATCTACAAAAGCTGATATACAGTTAAAAAAATCATTCAAGTACACGCATTTAAAAATAAATTGAAAAATTAACAAACTTCAAATTACTATTTTCCTAAATAACAGCTATTTAATAATGCTAATATTAATTATAAAAATAATAATTCACTTTCCAAAAACCACCAACACTTTAACTGAAGTTCAATACAATTAGCCTTGCCGACACTTAATTAAATCAGTAATACTGATTAACTAAACCAACAGCTGAACTTGAGCATAAGTTATCGCATAGGTTAGAAAACATAGGCAGGTCAGATAAGACTAATAGCATTAAGAACAGTAAACGTAAAAAACGTTAAAGTATTAAACAAGTTATGAAAGTTCAATCTGCAAGACTGCAAGTGTGGTAAATTCCCGGTTTCTAAACGTATTTTAATACAACGCAATATAATTCCTTATAAAATGTAATAACAATTTTGTAATCTTTATATTTTGGTAATTATTTTTTAATATTGATTACTAAGAATCTAAATAAAATACTTATATTTTGATATTTTTTAATGTAATCTAGCTAGTATAAACTTACTTTGAATAGAACCGTCATATGTACAATTATTTATTTATTCAGCTGTTGAAAAAATAATTTCAACAATCGTAACTATAAGCTAGTAGCTACCGGACGGACGGACGGACAGAACGGGGATCTAAGATGTTCGAAAGTTAGGTTTAGAAATCTTAAAGGCTAATAAATAAGAGATTTTACAATGTAACCTATAGTAATGGCATCGAACATATAAAAATAAAAGATTGAAAATAAAATGATGATATAAGATATAAGGACATAAAATGAAGAATACGAAAGACCGAGATACCAAATAAATATTAAAAATATATTTTTTTAATTGTTTAGGATTATTATCATATGTTTAATTAAAATGTAATGAGTGTTTATTATTACAACGTATTTTCAACATTGTGATATATATTATATAATATATTCTCTGACATAATTTGTAAAAATTAATTGTTTTGTGTATTTTAAATAACTAAGTAGCTATACAAAGAAATAAATCCGGGTACAAAAAATGTTTCAAACTGAAATTAGTCAAGTGTTTATTAATTATTTATATTTATTGTAATCCTAAGCTACTTAAAAAAAAAACTTTTTGTTGGCACCAGTAAGTAATTATCAAAACGTACTATTATATATACTATTATTCTATATTATAGGTATATTTATAAATAAATTGTAAATCAAATAAGATAAATTTATGTAAGACAAAAGATGCAAAAGAAAAATTGTTATCCTAATATCGTATATATATCAAACATAAATACATACATACATAAGATTTAGTATTGAAAAAAACATGGATAAACATACAACAACTTAAAAAAAATAAATTTGATTTTTGATATTAAACATACAGGTATCGTGAACAATATATTAATAAGGTCAAAACTATGAGAAATAAACATTATTTACGTGATATTGTATAAATTGATCAGATTTAATTTTCCAGTAAACCATATTAATATGATTATGAGCTAAACCGATACTGTCAAATTTAATTTTAAAATTAGAGAGTTTTTAAAGATTTTTAGTTGGGTACCATTATCAATTATCATTATCAAGTTTTTTTAAATTGTATGTCTACGTATAAGTATAAAAATAATTAAATTATTATGAAGTATAAATTATATAATATTATATAAATAAAAAGAATCTTGAAAAAACGAACAATTTTTAATTAGAAAATAAGACCTTATTAAAGTAGATTAAATAACAAATTATTACAACATAATTATGTATACTATTTTATTTTTGATATTTGATACATAATTTATTTAATGGTTTACTATTATATTAATGATTTATAATATAATATTCAATAATGGTGCTAAATAACGGTTTATGCCCTACTAAAATTAATATCGAATACATTTTTAAAATAAATAATTAAATCAAACATGCACTATAATATTCAAGTATTAATTCAAATTTTCATCGTTAAATCAAATCAAAACTTTTAAAGCCAACATAGCAAATAAAATAACATAATATACTAAGCAGTTAATTACAAACATTGTGATTTAACATTAGTTTAAAAATTAATGATTTAAATTGCAATGTTTTATTTTGTTTTGGATTCCAAACTAAGCAAAAAATGTACATTGATTTAATAATATTTTATACTTTTAATTATTTATGGCGGGACAGAACTTTTCTAGAAATTAAGGTTAAGTATCGAAAAATTGTGAAATTGTATGGCAACAAAATTTTATTTTATCAAATTAGTAATTTGTATTTTTAAAATTCAAAATTTATTATTTCTACGACATATTTTTATAAATAATTAACAGTTGGATAGTTAAATATTTATTTTGGTCTAATTCTAAGTGTTAGTAATACAGTTAATATACAAGATTTAATCTATCATATTATGTTCCTAGTAGGTATCTTAGTAATCTTGAAAATCTTTAACTAAAATTATTTTAAACACTTAGTATTTTCGAATTAAGAATAATATAATACTATGAAAACTGGAATATGCTGCTTTTAAAGTAAATATTTTCAAACAATTTTTTTGACTTTCAGGTTGTATGATATTACAGCGTCTTCGACGATAAAGGTACCAACACGAAATATTTCGAACGAATGACTTTTTGAATGATATTTTTTTAAAAATTTTAATTTAAGCACTCGAAACAAAACAATTTTTTTATTGTAACCCCATTTTTTGAGTTCAAATTTGATTTACTTTCATTTTTTTAAGCAACTTTATGACTTATAAAGGTTTTTTAAATATTTAAAATTTACTTACTGAGGAGTGAGAGTTTTAATTTATGCATGTTATATTTATCATATTTTTTAACAGCCTATCTACAATTCTACAATGTTCTGAGTGATTTCGTAGTTTTTTGTAAACTCAGGTGTGGTATCGAAAGTAAAGCACATTTACATTATTTTCACCAAATTATTAATATATTGTAAAAAAATATGATAAGTACAGCATACATAAATCAAAACTTTGGATCACACTAAATAGGTCAATTTTTAAGAAAGAAAAAAATTTTGTAAGTTTAAGTTACTTTAAAAAGTTAAAGTAATTCAAATTATTTGAAATAAAAAAGGGGAAACAAAAAATTGTTTTGTTGAGCATGAAATGAAAACCATGAAATTCAAAGTCATGGCATCGTTCGAAATATTTCGTGCTATAGGCAACCTTAATCGTTGAACACACGGTATATTATTAATATTTCAAAACGGTACAATCTAAATTAGATAAAGCTAGATCTCGGAGTAAGTTACTGTGTTACTGATATGAGTACGATAGTTATTGATTTGGAAGTAGCACAATAAATTACACAACATTCTCAAGACAATTTTGATTTCTTAGTAAAGCTTAGTTGGTTAAAAGTAAAAACTGAATTATCGTAAATTTAAAGAAGAATTACAAATGAAAAAAGTTTACTACACAGCTTTTAGTCACAAAACACCACATTTTTTTCTCGAAACTGTCTGAACAAACATTATAATAGCAAACACTAAAAATATTTAATTATTCACATACAATATATTACATACATTAAATAAAGTAAGACTCAAAAGATAATAATTTTTATTTCATAATTTTGTACAAAAAAAATCGTAATATTAAGAGTAAAATAAACCAAAATTAAAAATATCTGAAAAAGATGTTGTTATTGATGTCGTATAATATCTAAATAAAAAAAATACTTATTGTATCTTCTAAAACTGAATTTTTCACCAAAGTGAAATCAACGTATTTAATATTATATATACTTATATAGGGTTTTAAAATATAAACCAAAAAATATTCCATTGCATAAATGTGTTGAACTGAATAATTTATTTTAGTGGTAAAGGAAACCTAAATTACGATATGTCGTTTAACGATAATAATATGTAGCTCACTGGTTTTAAATCATGACGAGTATCGCATTAAATGTCCGCAATCTATAAATAACTCATATGTTTCAATTTGTGAGGAGAAATCAAGAACAAGCTGGATATACCAAAATGTATATACAAACCAGCATACATTTTTTATTTTATCGATCACAAAATTTAAACATTATACATAAACAACATCAACGAAGGTTTTATTCCCCCTGATATTTCCTTGACCTATTTTCTAAATTACCTACCTACCCCCACTATCACAATATAGGGTAATTAAATAAACATAAAACCCAATGAAAATTAAATAAAGTAAAATCATTTATTCAATTCAATTAATGGTTTTCTAATCATATAAGCTTTTTTATAAAATATTGTATTGTTATTACAATACATACAATAACGTTCATATTATAATATATATATATTTATAAAATGCCATATAAATATAACAATGATTAAATCAAATATAGAAGAGTTGATATCTATTTCAAAACTAATTGAATA